GTACCTGGGTACTTGCACCGCTGACCTTAGCTTATGCAGTCCTCTGTGGCTTTCTCCCTGGAATAAACGTGCACAGCATCATGCTCGTTTGTGTGAGCAGCTTTCTCACTGCAGCCAAAAGTTCACGTCTGCGTCATCCCACCTTGCAGCTGAAAACATTTCTAAGTCTGATCTGACAATGTAAGTCTTGTAAGGGAAAGGCAGCTCACCAGCCCCATCTAGTCCTGCGTACCAGACTGTGCCTGGTGTCCAGCCAGCACAAGCTTTGCTGAGGGCTCTCTCCCACTTCACACTGTGCACACACAGCTCAGACTGACTTTGCTCATTCCCTCTCAACACTTGCTCTTCCAAATGCACCTTAGAGTGACTTGGAAGAACCAGCACAAGAGAGGAGATAACCTGTGCAATACATAACCGCAGCCCCCGCAGCACAGTACACAAGAATGAGCTACACAAGAAATCAACCCCATGTTTTCAGCATCATGCTGGTAATATGAATTTGTATTATTCAGGCAAGGTAACTTCAACACTTTTCCCACTGTTCTGAATTACAAGGCACTTCCACAAGTTTGCCTTAGCCTTCAGCACACTCTTGCTGTCACTGTTAGCATAAACTGTAGCTTAATCATTGAAAACTCCTGTTGACAAGACTGTGAGCAGGAGGGAAAGCAAGAGAAGATGTGGAATACTCTGCCCACAAGAGATTTTCTTAGAGCAGACAGATCCTTAGTGATCCCATTTGAAGGTGAGATGGTGTAAGCGGCGAGGAGAAGCAGACAGGCCAACCCAATATGGGTGATAAGCAACTTCTAGTTTATTTGTGACGCAGTTCACACATATATAGGAGTGGTATTCAGCCACTCCTTCTTGGCATAACAGTATTGGTTAGCCCCCACAGCTTCCTCCACATTCTCCTCCCAGGTCCGGTCTCCGGCCACCTGTGGGGGCCACCCCCTGCCTTGCTTGCACAGTCCTCCAGAACTCTATGGTCCTGCTCTTAGAGTCATTCTGCAACAATTCCCCCCTTTTTCTTTGTGCAAGCAAGGCATTATGGGTTATTCTGTTCACCTGTTATATCACACAACTATAAACAAGTCTAATAGCTACGATAATTAACCTAACAATGATACATAAGTGCAATACTTCAAACAGCAGTGTTTGACTCAACCTGTAATGCCCGGTGAAGACAACCATCTAGTTATTCTTAGGATATTGCTCATTTACTATTGCTGGGTAAGCTGAGCCAGGGTTCTCAGCTGTGCGTGCATCGAATTAGCATAATCAGAGAGACTCATACAACACCTTCCATCAAACTCTTCACATCCATGTCCCTGTTCCAACAACAAAAGGTTCTGCAGTGTTGCATGTCTTACAGAGTCAACATTAAAACAAATCAGGAATTGCCTTCAATGTAGAATTGTCTGCTTAGCAACTCAGCAACCCAGTCTGCTTAGTTGAGCCAAGGCCCCGGCTGAAGCACTTACAGTGATTTGGCATATTATGATTGGATACATGTTTTGAAGACCCTTAGTGACTAACATATAATTGGTTAAACATAGGTTTGAGAACTCAACCTTGAAAGCTTGCCAACAGTCCACAGTTCTCATTAACTTGGTGAATTCCAGCCTCTTATCTTCCTTGCTTAAGCTTCTTCAGGCCTCTCATGGCCTTGCTGTATCTTTCAGGACTATTCAAAGTTTATGTACCAATTATGCATTCTCCTGTGAGAACACTGTCTCCACATCTTCCCCCTTTTGTTTTATCCAGTAACAAGTTGCTACTACAGCAAGGCACACACTAATTTACATTAGCAGAGTAACTATTACAGGGTGCAGCAGCATGTTGAAGATGCTGATGGCAGTGAAGGACTAGCCAAAGAAATTTCTTACCAGTGGAATTCTCCCCCCCTCTTAAATTTGTTCCATCACCTGCTTTATAACACTACCATTGTATTAAAATTTTTCTAGCTTTTGCCTTAGCATTTTCTAGCAGCTACTGCAAATTTCCACACTCTAACATCTCTTTTACAAGTGACAAATCTATACAATACAAGGTGCAGTTTCTTATTAGCAACTAGCTAGTAAATAAAATCACAACCTCTAATAATAGCTACTTTACAAGCACACATATTCAGGATGTTACTTTTCAACTGCCCCCAAGTGATGTTTTGCAGTTATTTGTTCTTTCTCTTCCTCCATCTCATTCTGCTTGGGGTAATCACGGTCAGCTCCTGTAGCTGAGGCATCAGGTTTATCCATTCTTCTGTCCAGCTTATGGCAGGGCTTGACAAACTTTGCAGGCAGTCACCATGGACCTGTAGGCAGGAGGGCACAAATATGCCCCCTCCCCCAGGTTATCAGTTTTTCAGAAGTAGACAGGTTAAGTGCAGCATCATTACTCTCCCCCCCCCCCTTTTTTTTTTTTTTTTTTTTTTTGAGTCCCTGCAAAAGCCGTCATTACTCCCACTACAGTCCCACGTACAGAACGTGGCACAAGGACCCTGTGGAGACTAACAGCAAACCAGCTCCGAGAAGCATCATTGCAGTGCGAGGTGGCAGGCTCAACCTTAGCAGGCGTCCCTGCAGAGGCTCTGCCTCCCCCACATCGTATGAGGCTTGGGCTTTTATACTGACCAAAATGCACACTCATTCCGACACAGGCGGCCAGCCTGTGCTGGAAGAAGTGGCCAGCAGTATCTACAGAGGTCTCCAAGGGTTGATAGAAACCTGGACATACTTTTATTTACCAACTTCTAGTACATGAGTATCACAGAGAAACTGTATGGGCTCTCCCTGTCAATTGCAAGAAAAAATCATAACATATATACAGCTTGAGTATAAGAGGATTTTAACACATACGTGGTCACTGTTTGTCAGGCCTCCTTAACTATTTTGAGATCAAGAGCTTCCCACTCTTTAGCCCCCTGCTGTGTAGTAAACACAGGATAGGCAGAAATGCCCATTGCAGAAAATTCCCCAGTAATGATCACATCTTTGGTTACCCATTGTTACAACTGAGCATCTCCAGGGCCAGCAAGTCTGAGCAGACCGACCCGGGAGACGAAGAGTCAGGGTCTGGAAGCAGAGGATATAAATCTGGCTCGGATTCAGGGGATTCGGGGGCTGATCCTGCGCCGAACTCAGGGTCTCCGTTGCTCGCAGCTGTGTCTTTCTTATCAGATGTATCTCGTTCGGTATGTAGCCATCTGCAGACCTGGCTCCTCCGTAACTGAGTTAAAAATTTCCTCTCTAGGGCGTAGTGGGTTGGAGAGGCTCGCAGTTCCTTTAAATCTCCCGCTCGCGCATGATCCCTATTTTCTACTGCGTGCTTCACAGTGGCACCGCAATCGATCCGGCGCCGAGGCACCGCCCTCTTTCTTTCGGATTCCTCGACATTTATCATGTGCATACCTTCTAATATACTTTCTGTGTCCTTTTCAACGTCCCTACTTTGGTAAGGGGGGTGGTGGGGGAGCTGGGGGTTACACCTCCTCCGCGGCACCTTCTGATGGAGGGGGAGAAAAGGAAGGGGGGGGAGGAAAACCTGTGCTCCCGCGAGTTGGGGGAAACGAGTTGTAATCTTCCCCTGGTTTCAACCGACCGGGGATGCCTGTTCCTAGTTTCTTCATTGCTACCGCGGCAGTTTTCTTTTCTGCCTTGTATCTTTTTATACAGTTCATTACTTCCCTCCGTGGTTTACCGAGTTTCTTTGCCTTTTTATAATCATTAAGCACTGAGTCAAATAGTTCATCACCAAACTTTCGCCACTCACTCTCCTCAAATATTGTATAAGGCTCTGCAAAAAAAAAATCTCTTAGCCTTCCCTACAGGCAGTAGACCTGCTAGCTGCTTTAGAGTCTCAGGCTCAATTCCCCGCTTTTATAAAAAGCACTGTAAAAAGTTCAGGGCTCAGTTCCCCGCTTTTATAAAAAGCACTGTAATAAGTCCAGGGCTACCTCTCGGTCCATTTTCATGGCCAGCCTTTTCCGGATCGTCTTCTTCTGGGTCGTCCTGTAACCTCGGTCTCCGGATCGGCCTCCCGACGCAGCAGTGTCTGGTTTACCCCAGCGGCGGACTTTTTCGGTTAGTCGCAGCACCCGGGTCCGTCACGCCACCGCAGCAGCATTGCCCGCGCTGCCCGGCCGCTGCCGCCGGCGCCGCTCTCTCGCCGTTCCGGGTCCCCGTCGACCGGGGCTCTGTATCCCAGGTCCCCGCTAGTCGGGGCCCTGTATCCCGGGTCCCCGTTGACCGGGGCCCTGTATCCGGGTCCCCGTTAAACCAGGGCCCTGTATCCCGGGTCCCCGTTAAACCGGGGCCCTGTATCCCGGGTCCCCGTCGGCCGGGGCCCTTTATCCGGGTCCCCGTCGACCGGGGCCCTGTATCCCGGGTCCCTGCTAGTCGGAGCCCTATAATCCGGGTCCCCAGCGACCAGGGCCCTGTAATCCACGTCCCTGTTCGGGCGCCATTTGTAAGCGGCGAGGAGAAGCAGACAGGCCAACCCAATATGGGTGATAAGCAACTTCTAGTTTATTTGTGACGCAGTTCACACATATATAGGAGTGGTATTCAGCCACTCCTTCTTGGCATAACAGTATTGGTTAGCCCCCACAGCTTCCTCCACATTCTCCTCCCAGGTCCGGTCTCCGGCCACCTGTGGGGGCCACCCCCTGCCTTGCTTGCACAGTCCTCCAGAACTCTATGGTCCTGCTCTTAGAGTCATTCTGCAACAAGATGGGATCTACAGACAGCCTGAACTACATTCCTGGGTGACCTGGGAGTACACCAAGGTTGGGACCACTCCTGAAAGTAGATTTTCTGCATGATCTTTGTGACCAGAGAAGCATCATACATGAACACCATTTTTGCAAGCCCTATTGAAGTGCTACTGCTGGGTCTTTGAACTGCATCTGCAGGTAAAATCAGAATAAATCAGGCATATGGACACGAATGCTGTCCTAAATAACCCAGAAGAGGAACAGATTGACTGTGTTTTGAGAAAAGAGAAGGGTAATTAGAGCAAAGGGTGTTTGGAAATTTAGCTTAAAAGGGAAAAATAAATTGTCCTGCACATAGTTGGTCTTCTGCCAGTTTGTACACTGTGATATTTTCTCTCTCATTGCAAAAGCACAGATTTGTGTTTCATTAATAAATGAACTTTATTCTCAAGAAGGGTCCTGTTGTGCGGGAAGGTGTTTAAATGATTTTTGGTTTAGACATGGTTACATGCATTACAGTCAGAGACCCTAGTGCAAACAGGATCCTAAGAAGGAGAAAATTGACTGCTACTGCTGAACCCAGGATGCCGCCACAGGTATAACCTGCTGCTGCGCTGGGGAGAACGTCAAGGGGAGAACACTGCCACTCCTCTGAGAGGCCTGCGGTACAGTTTTCCTTGTGCTTTCTGTGTCCTCTTTCTGTCTCTCCCCTCTTTTTCCCTCAGGTACAAGTTTGTCATCTGCTGTCAGCTGTGCACCCTGCAAACACAGCTCTGTGCACGAAGACCACTTTCAGTGGCCGTAGGTCAGCATTCTTGTGAGGCGATCTTGCATGTCCATGAACTGCCTCATTGCCTCAGCTTGGGCATCCGGATCCTGTGCCAGATGCTGGAAGAGGTTGAATGGCTCGGCTCTTTGCAAGGCTGGGGGCAAGATGATCTCCTCAGGAATCTTCTCATTCCCAAAGAAGAAGTGGTCGAGGCGTTTCTCCTCCAAGCAGTGGCACAGGTACCGCATGATGTCATCCAGCCTTAGCAGGAAACGTGTCTTGTGCCAGCCTGACAGGGGTGTGGTGTTCAGGAGGTGCATCACCACTGTCTTCAAGGTATAGCTGGAAAAGCCTGTGCCCACCAGAGTGCGGGCGCAGAGCTGCAGGCATCTGAGGTGGAAGCTGCCGTCTGGGGCCTGCCTAGTCATCAGCTCAAAGAACTTTGCCTCTGCCACAGCACAGCTCAATGTCCAGGTTGTGCTTGGGGTGAAGATAGCCTCACTAGCCTGGCTGCTCAGGAAGATGTCCGAGTCGCCTTGCTGCACGCCCAACATAATTTCAATGATGGCTTCCTTCTCTGCTCTTGCCATCTTGAATTTGCAGGAGCGGCTGTAGGGCAGCATAGTTAAACGCCACTGGTGTGAATGAGGCAGAAGCACCCAGCATGCTTTCACCAGCTCATGAAGCCTGCAAGCTGTTTTCTCCACATCTAGGTAGGAGCCGGTGCAGAGGGTCTGTAGGAGGCTGGGGCCCTGATGCCTTCTCAGCTCCTCTTTGTCGTGGTGGAGGAAGCACAGCATGTCCCCCACCAGCTGCTCTGCCAGGCATGTACACTGCAGCTCCACGCGGATGCAGAAGTTCCTCTCTGGCACCTCCCCCGGACTGCGGAGCTCCAGGAGAAAGGTGTGGCCAGACGGGGGGCCCAGGGGCACAAGCACTTGATAGACGATGTTTTCTTCATAGGGACTCCAGCCTTCATGTGCGCTGCCTATGCCAAAGCATGGTTCCAGCACTGGGAAGGAGCTATCTGACAAGACTTGTCTGGCAACAAGGATAAAAGCATTCACAAGGCTCCTCACAGATTCAGACACTGTGAACAGGTTCTGATTAGGCCATTGTATGTGCTCCTCAAAATGCCTTGTCAGGTCCTTTGCGTATTCACTTTCTTCCTCTTCATTCTGCTCTTCCCGCTCTTCCTCTTCTCTACTGCTGCTGCTGGAGCTGTCCTCTTCACTGCTGCTGCCCTCCTCATGGCTCCTTCTCCTGAGGCACGAGCAGAGCCAAAGAATCAGGAGGAGCAGCATGCCAGCAATCGCCCAGAATTGCCAGTGCTGCAAGTCAGCAAAGAACAGGCCTCTCCAGGCCACGGGAGTTTGCTCCTTGCTCCTCTGCTCCTGGCTCTTCTGCTCCAGCTCCTGGAGCAGCCGAGTCATCTCCCAGATCAGCTGCTTGTTACGGTGCTCCATGCGGTCACGTGTGGCTTCATCCATCTCATCACCGACGACCTGCACATTCAGGATGAGCTGTTGCAGAATCCAGAGTGAGAGGTTTGTGACAGCCATGGCCTGCAGAAGAGAGAAAGAATTCAGTGGGGCTTGGAGGGAGGGAAGGAGGAAGGGAGCTGGTGGCGGGGGGAGTGGATGCAGGAGCCGCAGGGAGCTGGGGACAGGCAGGAGAGGGAACGAGGCAGCTGGGAGGCAGCAAGGGCTGCACCCAGGCCCGGTGCCAGCAGCAGCGTGCCCTGCCCAAGGCACTCGCAGCCAGGGCCTCGATGCAGGGTGAGCACCCACCCCCGGGGGCCCAGGTTTCTGCCCCGGCCCTTGTCCAGCCCAGCCTCCCCCCTGTGTGCGCACTCACTGCTGTCCCAGGCTGTACTGGGCCAGTGCTGCCTGCTGGCACCCTCATATCCATCCCCCACTGTGACTCGTCCCCTGTGATGTCACAGGCACTGGGGGTGCACCACAGTCCCGCCCACACAACCACGGGCCAGCTGCTTCCCACGCCACTGCCAGAAACGCAGTCCTGGGCCTTGAGAAACAAATCTTGTGTTGACATGGCACCCCAGAGAGACCTGAGTCAGACAATGGGACTCATTTCCAGAACAAACTTATAAACACTTGGGCCAAAGAGCATGGCATTGAGTGGGTATATCACATCCCCTACCATGCAGCAGCCTCTGGGAAAATCAAACGGTACAATGGGCTGCTAAAAGCTACACTGAGAGCAATGGGTGGGGGAACTTTCAAACAGTGGGATACACATTTACTAAAAGCCACCTGGTTGGTCAACACCAGAGGATCTGCCAACTGGGCTGGCCCAGCCCAGTCGGAACTTTCACATACTGTAGAAGGGGATAAAGTTCCTGTGGTGCACATAAGGAGTTTGCTGGGAAAGACAGTCTGGGTTACTCGTGCTTCATGTAAAGGCAAACCCACTCGTGGGACTGCTTTTGCTCAGGGACCCGGATATACTTGGTGAGTAATGCGGGAAGACGGGGAAGTCCAGTGTGTACCTCAAGGGGATTTGATTGTGGGGGAAAACAGCCAATGAACTTAATTGTATGCTGTTGCCTGCTATGTAGCACTTTTATAGCCCACCAGCTAGTCTTCAGGTCACCAGTGTCTGGCGCTGACTTCCCTCCAATCACCATCCCAACAAAGAATGAACTTTGAAAAAACAGACCAGCTCAGCAGTGACCGGATGAGTTCCGCTGTGTCTTCAGCAGGCAACAATCCAACACTGCACTGTCCTGGGTTCAGCAGTAGCAGTCATTTTTCTCTTACTTAGTAATTGGTGCAGTGCTGTGTTTTTGACTTTCAGCCTGGGAACAAAGCTGATAACACCGATGTTTTTAGTGCTTGCTCGGTAATGTTTACTCTGACCAACGACTCTCTGATTCTCATGCTCTGCCAGGGAGGATGGGAAGCCGGGAGGAAGCAGAGACAGGACACCTGACCCAGACTAGCCAAAGAGGTATTCCATACCACAGCATGTCATGCCCACTATATGAACTGGGGGCAGTTATCCAGAAGGGCCAGATCACTGCTCGGGACGGGCTGGGTATCGGTCGGCGCGTGGTGAGCAGTTGTATTCTCTTCCCTTGTTATTTCTCTTATCATTGTTATTGGTGGTAGCAGTAGTGGTTTTGTGTTACACCTTAGTTACTGGGCTGTTCTTATCTCAACCCGTGGGAGTCCATTCTTTCGATTCTCCTGCCCATCCCTCTGGGAGCTGGGGGAGGAAGGTGGGGGAGCGAGTGAACGGCTGCATGATTTCTGGGTTGCCGCCTGGGCTTAAATCACAACAGTTTATTGTGGTGCCCAGCGTGGGGCACAAAAGGTTGAGATAACAACAGATCTGACCAGAGTGCGTCTAATTGTATTGGTGACAAGCATTCATTGTTTTGGATTAACAGTCACTCGTCACAATGCTGATTTATCGGCTCTCAAAGTTGTTGCTCTTGATCTCACAGTTTCAGCATGTCGTACCTTACTTACAGCTGGCATTTGCTGTCTTACTGTTTATCGGTTGGGGGCCTTGGGCTAAGGTTCTTGTCTCATTGTACTTTATAGTAATGACTTGTAATACAACACAATCATTGATCATGAAACTGATCTGGCTTGCCTTCTCAGTGTGGTCACCACCTCTATACTTTGGGAGGTATATAATAAAAGTGCTTAGCAATTAGTCATCTTTTTTCTCCTTCTCGGGTGGTCAACCTGTGAAGGAGACATTCCCTTACCTTCCCAGCTCCCCCACCAGACCGTTTCCAGCATCATTTGAGGGTTCTGAAGGTGTTGAATGGCCTTTGAGTACCCCTGAGACCTGCCTGCTGATTGTGACGGGCATCACCATGTTGGCACACATACAGAGTGTGTTTTACCGATGACCATTTCATCTGATCTCGAAAGTTAAGCAGAGTTGGGTTTGGGCCTTGTCTAGGGTTAGACCATGATATAGGAGGACCAAGAGATTTTCCCCGAGGCTGGACAGTCATGAGTCGCAGGGTGTGTGGGACAGTATGGGCAAGTATCTAGGCCAGTGGGCCCCTCCAGTTCCTCTCTGGAGGAACAGGTGAGTGAATTTAAAGAGGAGAGCAAAGGTCAAGGATGATCATCCCATGAAAGCTGCGGCTTCAGTCTCTGGTGAGCAGATTCCCAGATGGGGTGGAAGAGCCGATTTTACTTCAGCTCCTGTGATGAAGACTAATCCCTCTCAACAAGACGTAAGTGACCAATGTGATGACTATTAGAGGGGCCCTGCCTCCAGCCAGGTGGAGGTAGGGGATAATCGGATTTACTGGACTGTGTGGATCAAATGGCCTGGCACATCAGTCCCACAGAAGTATAAGGCTCTAGTAGATACCGGTGCACAGTGTACCCTGATGCTATCAAGCTGTCAAGGGGTGGAATCCATTTCTATTTCTGGAGTGACAGGAGTCACCATGCCACTTGTAACTGTCCAATCTCTGGGCAACTCTCTGGGTGTATTCTTAAATAGTTGTTTAACCTTAAACAAAACCTGAGCTGTATGCAGCAACATGCTGGCTCCTAGCAAAAGGACCAGGTTGCTTTCAAGGGTGCTCAAGGGCTATTCAAAATTATTAAAAATTATCAAACACTACTGTATTCAGCTTAGAGGAGAATGAAGCTGTTGCAAGGAAGGAGGAAAGGAAAGAAGGAAGAAAGCTGAAGGAAGCTGTCTTCCACGTAGATTGGCACTCAGAGGAGAAAAGTCAAAGGTGTAATTATTAATAGTTCCCAATAGATGACTTCCAAAGTACAGAAATTATGACAATGCTGAGTACACATACCAGATTAGTTTCACAAGCGGTGTTTCTATCATATCATAAACCAGTATTACAAAGTACAACAAAATTATAATCTTAGCCCAAGCCCCCAAGGATAATAAACATAATCAGAGGGAACACATACTGCAAGTAAGGTATCATATAACACAACCCTACGAACAAGCACAACAACTCTGACAGCAAATAAATCAAAACCATGGCCAGGGACTATTAAACCATTATGGTGAATGCTCACAACAAATTTGTTTTAACATGGTCTAGTCAGATCTGTCATTATCTCAACCCTTCCAGGCACATGCTGGGTACCAAAAAGGGGATATCAAAAACACAGCATTGTACCAGCTGCTAGGAAGAAAATAAACTCTATCCCACATGAAACCAGAACATGCTGACAACCAAGTCACCTCACTTCCAAAGCTATCTCTTTCATTTCCTCAACTCCATACTTGCTCAGATTTTGTCCTCTTGAACTTAAAGGTAATCTTATGTTGTAAGATTCCCTTCTGCCCATTTCTTTCAAGCAACCCCGTGCTTCTGCTGCTGCTTGTGCTATTTGCAGCTGTTTTCATAGCACTTTCAGCTTGATGATTGTCCTGGGTTTAGCAAGTAGCAGTCAGTTTTTCGCTGGTGCAGCACTGTGTTTTGACTTTCAGTGTGGGAACAGTGCTGATAGCACCGATGTTTTCAGTTGTCACTAAGTAATGTTTACTCTGACCAAGGACTTTGTGAGGCTCATGCTCTGCCAGGGAGGAGGGGAAGCCGGGAGGAAGCAGAGACAGGACACCTGACCCAGGCTAGCCAAAGAGGTATTCCATACCACAGCACGTCATGCCCGGGGGTGTAAGCGGCGAGGAGAAGCAGACAGGCCAACCCAATATGGGTGATAAGCAAACTTCTACTTTATTTGTGACGCAGTTCACATATATATAGGAGTGGTATTCAGCCACTCCTCCTAGGCACAACAGTATTGGTTAGCCCCACACAGCTTCCTCCACATTCTCCTCCCATGTCCGGTTTCCGGTTACCTGTGGGGGCATCCCCCTGCCTTGCTCGCACAGTCCTCCAGGGCTCCATGGCCCTGCTCTTAGAGTCATTCTGCAACAATTCCCCCCTTTTTCTTTGTGCGAGCAAGGCATTGTGGGTTATTCTGTTCACCTGTTTTATCACACAACTATAAGCAAGTCTAATAGCTACAATGATTAACCTAACAATGATACATAAGTGCAGGACTTCAAACAGCAGTGTTTAACTCAACCTGTAACGCCCCGTGAAGACAACCATCTAGTTATTCCTAGGATATTGCTCATTTACTATTGCTGGGTAAGCTGAGCCAGGGTTTTCAGCTGTGCATGTATCGAATTAAAATGACCAGAAAGATTTATACAACACATTCCATCAAACTCTTCACATCCATGTCCCTGTTCCAACAACAAAAGGTTCTGCAGTGTTGCATGTCTTAGAGAGTCAACATTTAAACAACAAATCAGAAATTGCCTTCGATGTAGTATTTGTCTGCTTAGCAACTCAGTCTGCTTAGTTGAGCCAAGGCCCCGGCTGAAGCACTTACAGTGATTTGGCATATTATGATTGGAGACATGTTTTGGAAGACCCTTAATGACTAACATATAATTGGTTAAACACAGGTGTGAGAACTCAACCTTGAAAGCTTGCCAACAGTCCACAGTTCTCATTAACTTGGTGAATTCCAGCCTCTTATCTTGCTTGTTTAAGCTTCTTTGGGCCTCTCATGGCCTTGCTGTATCTTTCAGGACTATTCAAAGTTTATGTACCAATTATGTATTCTCCCATGAGAACACTGTCTCCACATCTCCCCCCTTTTGTTTTCTCCAGTACCAAGTTGCTACTACAGCAAGGCACACACAAAGTTACATTAGCAGAGTAACTATTACAGGGTGCAGCAGCATATTGAAGATGCTGATGGCAGTGAGGGACTAGCCAAAGAAATTTCTTACCAGTGGAATTCTCCCACCCTTTTAATTTGTTCTATCACCTGCTTTATAAGACTACCATTGTATTAAAATCTTTCTAGCTTTTGCCTTAGCATTTTCTAGCAGCTACTGCAAATTTCCACACTCTAACATCTCTTTTACAAGTGACAAATCTATACAAT